GAAGGCGTTGTTAACGTCTAACTGATGGAGTGGCCAACCCTTGCTGACTGCTACAGCAATGAGAACGCAAACTGTAACTAACTTTGCCACAGGAGCAAAAGTATCGGTGAAATCGACCCCCTCCACTTGGGTGAAACCTTTAGCGACCAGACGAGCCTTGTATCGCTCAACGGACCCATCTGGTAGTACTTAATCTTGTACACCCACTTCGAGTCAATAGCCCGTTTCCCAGGAGGTAAGAACTCCAAGGTCCAAGTCCCATTAGCTTCTAAAGCCATGATTTCCTTAATCATCGCGTCGCGCCAACATGCATGCTGCACTGCATCACAGAAATGTTTAGGTTCCGCTACCTATGCAATGGCGGCCAGAAAAGCACGATGAGAGTAAGAAAAATGATGATAGGAAACATGGTTAGAGATAGGATACGTAGCTGATGTCGAGGTGGAGGATCCCGGCAGCTCGACATCATAAATGTCGAGTTTGGCTGGAGGTCAACGGATGCGGTCACCACGACGTGGAGGTGGAGGAGGCGACGGTGGCCTCGCAATGATGGGACTGGGAGCTGCTGAGTCAGGCGGTACGGGCGCGATACAGACGAAGGAGAGGATGGAGCATCACCAATATCAAAGCTGTCCTCAAGAGCGGCAGTAGTTTGAGCGTGCTGTCCGACCAAGGGGTCGAGCTCCCCCTCAAGGATAGGCGCCGAAGAGGGCGCATGGCTGGCTGGGGGTACCGAAGGTGTTGCCCGGAAGGGAAATTCGGACTCCACAAAATGCACGTCACGAGAAGTGTAAATTCGACGTAGATGTAGATCATACACCCTGTATTCCTTCTGTGAGGTGGGATAACCAACGAAAACACAACGCCGACCTCGTTCAGCAAATTTATCCAACCCTCCGCTTGTGTCCTTGGCATACGCAAAGCATCCAAAGGTACGCAAATGTGTGTAGGTGGGAAGACAGCCAAGAAGAACTTCAAAGGGTGTCTTATTTGCAATAACGGAGGAAGGAAGTCGATTTATCAGATAAGTGGCCACTAATATGCATTCGCCCCAGAAACGAACAGGAAGACTCGCGTGGAAACGAAGGGCACGCGCAGTATCCAAAAGATGGCTGTGTTTCCGCTCAACTACCCCATTATGTTGGGGAGTATTAATACAAGATGTCTGAAGGAGAATGCCATGATCAGCATAATATGATCGCAGTGAATGAGTCTGAAACTCCATCCCATTATTTGCCTGTATCCGTCGAACCTGCCGATCAAACTGGGTATTCACCATCATACAAAAAGATAGAAGATACTTCTCAACATCAGACTTGTATTTGAGTAAATAGACCCAAGTTTCCCGACTAAAGTCATCAACCACAGTCAAGAAAAAACGAGAGCCATCCAAAGAAGGTGTCTTGTAGCCACCCCAAATATCCACGTGTATCAAATCGAAACATCCACGTGTCGAAATACTACTAGAAGGAAAAACAGCCTGTGTCTGCTTAGCTCTCCAACACAGATCACAATGAGTTTCAGTGAAAGAAATACTCTTCGAACTAAGCGCATCACGCAACAAGGAAAGCTTATCAAAAGACGGATGCCCCAACCGATGATGCCACAGAACAGAAGTCTCCTGCCCAGTCACAGCAAAGGCATCCACACTTAGGCCCGCGGTAGACGCATCCATGCTGCCTCGATCCAGGTAATACAAACCATCACGGAGTCTCCCCAGTCCAATCACTATCCTGGAACGTAAGTCCTGGATGAGGCAAACACCAACCAAGAACAATAAAGCAACATCATGATCCTGTGTAAGACGACTAACCGACAGGAGGTTGCATTTAAAATCGGGAGCATGAAGAACGTTGCGAAGAGTGAGACGATCATTCAAGACAACTGTTCCTACTCCGGTCATTGGAATACAACGACTATTAGGAATGCGGACAGGAGAGTGATGCTCACTACTATCCAAACTGTTAAGCCAACTAGAGTCCCTAACGATGTGTTCATTGCAACCCGAATCAATAAGCCATTCATAAAGGTCAGAACTGTTACCGGCCATATGAGTAGTAGGATCGGAAGAACCAGGTACGGGTGCACTGAAGAATTGCTGCAAATGAGCAAACTGTGTTGTCGTGAGACCTGGTATGGGGCTGGTTTCACTGTCCACATGTGCTGCCCGAGGTGTGGACTCGTTGGTATTGGATTGCTTGCGCACAGTGGAGGAGCGATCGCCTGACTTCCCCTTTTTGAAATCCGGTGGAAAACAAATCAAGCGATAACACATGTCTTTCGTGTGTCCAAGTTTGCGGCAGTGTGAGCAACGAATTGGCTCCGAAGTGGCTACCTGTTGATCGTCACGCACCTGAAAAGCTGCTGCCTCCACCGATGGTCGGCGCCCAGCTGTCAACTGTTGTTGCTGCTCGTCACTTGCCACTAATTGGTATGCCTCTGGAAGTGATGGCAGTGGCCTAGTGCTCAAAATTTAGGTACGCACAACAGCAAACAAATCAGTCAACCCCAAAAGAAAATCAAAGAGGCGCTCCGTCTCTAGTTTCTCCCGCGCCTGGCGATTGACATCACAAGTGCAACCGCCACAGCTGCAATGCGGATTGACGCTCACGGTTTGGAGCTCGTCCCAATAAGTCCGCAGCTGAGTATAGAACGCGGAGACAGAAGACTTTTCTTGGCGGAGAGCGCCAATATGTCTGCGCAGCTCGTAAGCCCTCATAGCCGAGCCCGCACCAAAACGCTGGCGCAAGTCAAGCCAGCCTTTTACCATTGAATCACAGCAATCCCAGGCATCAAGGCGCAAACCATCACCAGCAGCCGAACGCGGCAATGCGCCATTGCCGAATGCTAGTTTGTTTTTGGCGATCAAGGTTTCGGTCATATCGTTGACCCACTCGCCATAGTTCAAGTCAATCAGGAGATCGCCGCCAAATAGTTGTCCAGGGTTCTCGGACGGATGAAGGAAAAGAGGCAAGGAGAGGGGATAGCAACGGGGTTACTGCCTAGTCCAAAAGAAGAGGAGAAAGAGCGCGGCTGCTTGGCTGCGGTTCTGAAACTCCGAATCCAGGCAACTAGAAGGAAGGAGGTAGCGACTGAAGCAGGGAAAGAGGGAGAACTTCCATGGAACTTAAGGCCCGGAAGAAAGAAAAGAAACAGAGCACCTCGTTAGAGGATTTGAGGCTCTGATACCATGAAAGTGTCTCAGAAAACCTGAGTTTTTTTTTATTGAATATATGTTTATATACAACAGTAGATGTAACAGAAGGGAAAATCCTACGCAGAGGATTGCTAAAACTAAGGAACAGAATGAAACATAATAGGAGAGTGGAGAGATAGAGTTGTTGGTATGTTCCTGAAGTGGTGGAGATATTTCATCTCTATCATTGTCACCTCAGTCAAGGATCACGTATTTGAGGAATTACAAATTTAGCTCATTTCAAAAGGTTCTACCTATCATGCACACTGACGAGACGGATCAATACACACTTGTGTTCCTCTAAAGCATCATCAAGGAAGGCTTTCTTGTAGCAAAGGTATGATTGCCTCGTCCACTACAAGACCCTAAGATCATTCATCTAGCCTTAATTTGCAGTTGACGCTACCCAGTCTAACTCTAAAACTCCTACCCATTGTTGGCTCATCATATGCTACTAGAGAAGAGTAGGGAGACTTACCCAAGTATAATTAAGCATATATAGCATATAATCAATAGAACAAACACTTCCATTCATAAATTCTAACATAATTCATTCATCTAAGTTAAAACCCTAATATAGGATTTGGGGGCTTTGACCCCTTGCACCTTGGAGGACAACTCCATAAATAAGGGAAGATGAAACATAGAAAAAATTGAAGAAGACTTTGATGGGGGAGATGGCTCCTTCCTTATAGCCCCTCATTCTCTTCTTCTCTTTTCTTTAGCTTCTCTCTCTACTTTCTCTCTCGAAAAACCAGAAACTTCAATCAAAATCAGCTCTCTTTGCAAGGGGAAGGTATCTCTTATTTATAGAGTTTTCGAATCCAGCCAAGTTGGCGGTCATGCTGAGAGAGTTTGCGGGCACGAACTTGAGGGAGGAGACCGTGATCTTCATCCGCTGCGGTTTTGCTCTTCGTCCAAAGGGTGGATCGCGGGCCTCGATCTTTCTCACAAGTTGGGAAGATGGGGCCCGTGAGTAGACAATTTAAGCCCTTTGCTTCTCCCGTGTTGGCCACATCTGAAGTTCACGTCCGAAGTGTCAAAGTTCACGGGCGTGATCTTTGCTTCTTGGGCCTCGATTAGAGCTCCTTCTTTGTGCCCTCTTTTCCTGACCGTGATCATCCTTGGCAAGATGGTGATCTTTAGCTTTTTCCTCATTCTTGCTACACTTGTGCCTTTTTAGTACCTAATTCGCATATGTTATCTAATACACCCTAATATAATGATATTATCTCTGATATTTGACAATGTATCAGTGATTATGCACATAAAATGACTCAAAAGGAACATCAATATGAGGGATAAATAACATCAATTTAGGTGGCATCACATATTAAACTAGTAAAGTGTGAACCATGTGTTATACTAGTTTATATAAGGGATTATTACACCATACCGGACCATCCGACCGAACCAAAAAACCAGAAATTGAACCCGATCCAGAATGGTATAGACAAAGAATACAATTTGATGTGCCCACTGGTTTTTTTAGGTTGAACCGTAAAAGCGCAAAATATCAACTGACTTTGGTCCAAAAAATAATTGTGAAAATTGAAGGTTGTATATGTGAAATTCAGTATGCAAGGAGCATTGTATTTTGCACTCAACGTGCAGAATTTCAAACAATGAAAAGTTGAAATTTCAAATCCAAAACTAAAAAGAAAACAAGTCTTCTTCCCTCCAATGAAGAACAAAACTCAAATCTCACCTCTCCTCCACATTCTCACCAACAACTGCAAACTCTTTCTCTTCTATCCCTTATCATATCTCGCTCGCTCTTCATCTCTCATTTCTCATAGATATAATGGTTGGTTGCTTACTAGAGGAGAGCGACAACAATAAGGAGAACCTCCCACCAAATTCACAGTCCAGATCCTCGTCTTGTAAAGGCAGGAAAAGAGTGGTAAAAAGATCACTTGAAGACTTCTCGCATTTCTTCCCACTATTAACTCAACTATTTCAAGACCGTGCGAGGAGTAGCTCTTCTCCCCCTTCACCTCGCTGCTAGCACTACAACAAAATCCATATGTAGTGGCTAATTGTTGAGGCAAATATTATAATTGCCTCTAAAAGGATATTATATACAACATTTATACAATTTGCCTCAATAGATATAATTATGTGCCTCCAAAAGTATTAGATATACTACATATATATAATTTGCCTCTATAGCTATTAAGTTTTGCAACTTCAAATGTTTTATAGTGACTAATAATTTTTTTGCCGCAATAGATATTTAAGATTTGCCGCTATTACCTTTTAGATATTCATATTAACTTAAAAAAACATAACAGCGGCAAGTTTATAATAAGTAATAACTATCTTGTTTTAAGTGCATACCATTAGATGCAAAAGCTGGCTCTAAAAACTAAAACGTGTTGATTAGGCGGGAGTTTAAAAATTAAAAAATAAGGGAAGCGGGAAGCGGAACTAAGCGGCAAACGGGAAAATTACAACCCTATTTTATTGAAAAATAACAACCCTTTTAGTTTTAGTTTCAGTTTCAGCAGAATAATACCGCTTCGTTTTCCTTTTCTTCTCCTCCCTCCATCTTATACTCTTTCTTCTCTCCTCAAGCGAGTGACAGCACCCGCGATGGTGAGATGCAGGCAATCGACGCTCAACAAGGCGATGGTTTAACGTGGCTGCAGCCTGCAGTGTCTTTCGAAGGCGTCAAAATAAGACGGGCGAGAGTAGATCTACCCCTTTAAGGTGGAGCACATTGTTTTTCGAGTAGATACGAGATGTTTGGTAAATAGATCTACCACTTTAGGATGGATCAGGTTGTTGTTTGCGTAGATATGAGATTTGTGGTAAATAGATTTACTCTTTAACCGTGACAGCCGATCCAGCATTGCCAGAACCACTGTGAGATGTCTAAACTAAGCGACGTTGTGGCCCGGCTGCAGATGGAACAAGAGGAGAGGTACATGGAGGTCGTCATGTCCGGCGCTGAGAAGCTTCAGAGCAAGCTCCAGACTGAAATGGCTTCCCGGATACAGTTTGATTCGACCTTTTAGCTTCAGCTTTATGTGAATTTTATGTACAATAGTTCATTGTTGTTGTGAAATTCTTGTTACCTCTTTCATTTATACTTCCTGAATGCTTATTGTATTCCTTATATACTTTTTGTATAGTAACTAGTAAGTTGTATTGTATAATACATAAAAAGAACTTTGTTTTTGTATCCTTGTACTGTACATCCTGTTCATCTAGGTATATACGGTATCTCGTAGGGTTTTTATATACAATTTATTTTACAATACGTTTATGATCATTAATTTTAAACTCTTATATCCTTTTAAAAAAAACATTCTAGAAATTAGCGGTAAAAAAAATACTTCCCCATTTAATATACTTTTAGAGGCAAATGTTTGTGCCTTTGAAACTAAACAAGAGGTGTAGAAATAAGTGGTTCTAGCGGCTAAAATAAGAGTCACAAAATCTCTAATCAGCAGCTAATAATATGTCGCTATATATGCCTCTATAGGGTTATAGCCACTAGAGTATTTGAGGCAAAAATATTATCAGCCTCTAAATATGTATAGAGGCAAATAAGTGACATCTAGAGGCAAATTTCCTCTGCTGCTATAGATGGATTTTGTTGTAGTGTAGCAAGCCCCAAATGTGAGAAGAGGAAAGTCGATAGTTGTGCCAATTCAGCTTCTAAGAAGACTAATGTCATGTACAAGAGCATAATTTACAGATAGTTTGTAAAAATTTAGTAGTAACAAGCATGGTTCTTAACTTTTTTGTTCTCTCCTTGTTTAACATTTTGAGTTTTGCTTTCCCCCCCTCTTCCACTAGCTCTATTGTCTAAATATTTAGATGACCCATGATAATTTGTCTTCTAATATTGAGATAGTACTTGTTCTGTCTTAGTTTATGATAAGATGCAGATATTATTTTTGTATATTCCTGTATTACTTCGGATTTTACCAATACATGACTGAGAAAAAAATATTTTACTATACCAAAAATGTCATTTTATCTGTACTAAACTGTTGGATTACGGTCATGTGACAAAACACCTTTGTAACAACGAGTTCAATATGACTTTCGGTACATTTTGCAAATCATGATGTGCCGGTTCAGTTCGATTCGAACAGCATTGAATATAAAAAGATACGTGGCATAAACGGAAATAACGGAACAAGAGAAGGGCAAAGTTGGAACAAACTATTCCCTCATTTCACCATCCCATTTCTTTCTTCTCGTCCGTCTCTCACACAATTTATCATATTACCTCTCTCTCTCTCTTCCAACTGCATTGCCATTTGCCAACTCACAATCACAGCAAAACAAATCAAATTCTCTCTCCCCTTTTCTTCGCTGCTTGCTTGCTGCTGCATCTGCGTGTTTGTTGGATGCGGCCACTTCTCCCCTCTTTCGCTCTTCCAAACCCAATCAAAACCCCACTCTTCTTCTCCCTACTTTTCCACCCTTCCTCCGCCGCCGCCTCCACGCTCCGCCGACCCACTCCTCTCTTCCTATCCTTCCTCCCGGCCTCGTTCCGCCCGCGATCCTTCTCGAATTCTCCCCCTACAATGGCGATCCCTCCAAAGCTGCTCTCCTCCTCCGCATCCATCGCCACCACCTCCAGTCTCGGCAGCAACTCCGTCGACCACGGCCTTGCTGCTAAGCTCTGGATCAAATTCCGCCGGGAATTGCATCTCGCCATGTACACTCCCTTTCTTGTCTCTTTGGCCTCCGGCAATCTGAAGGCCGACACCTTCAGGCACTACATCGCTCAGGACGCTCACTTCCTCAAAGCCTTCGCCCACGCGTATGTCCTCTCTTGCTTTTAATTTTTCTTCGCAATCTAGCGTAAGTTCCCGTTCACGTCGAGTTCTTGGATTTCTGGCGACTGATTCCGGTCGTATGAGATAATACGTCTGGCTGTTTGATGGATTAGCCAAGAGCATTTGAGTTGTGGTTGATTGCTTCCTATTCTGTTGGCGGAATAAAAGAGAAAGGGTAAAATGATGACGGTTGCAATCTTTAGCCCTTCTTTTAAGGGATTTACTTAGTCGTCTCTCTGCCTTCACTGTTGAGGCAATTCACGGGAAAGGAAAATGCACCTTGTCAGTGTGAGGGGGATAGAGTTGAGAAGGGTTATGCATATAGGGAAGATAGGATGGGGGAGGTGTACAAGTTCTGGTATCTTATTGAATTTCCTCTGGTAAACGCATTGAAGTCGTGCATGTGATAATTTGTGTGGAATTGGTTCTCTATTGGTGAAATGGTGCTTGTGGGCATGGTAGAAGATGGGACAAAGAAGCCTGAGATTGAGATGAGGTCAATTAACTTCATGCCATATTGGTGTGGTACCTGAAGAGTACTTTCGTTACATTATGCTAATGCTATATCTTCGCAAAGAAAGTAACTTATTGCCTCCCGCACCGCCCTAGTTAAGTCTTTCTGCTCGCATCTGAGTTTCTGCATTTTGAGTTACACATGGAAGAAGCCGCTCTTATATGCTGCTATGGTATTTTTGCTCTGCCTCTTAAACGTGGGTAAGGTTTGAATGGGATGATCTTGACCGTTGCCTGTGGACGGTATTTGTTTCCGTGTATGATTTAGAATAGAAGCCTGCACTTGGCTTGCCAATGTACTTGTGGTGGATTGTTGGCTAAATTTTTTTAATGGAGGTCGAAGAATAATAATTGTCAGAACTGCTCTCTCTTGGTTGGGCTTAGGAGAATGCCTTGATTTCATAATTCATTCAGGAATTTCTTGATCTCTTTGTTTCTAATGCATGTGGTTTAAAGTATTTTCTTTTCTTTTTCTTCTTTTTATCAGTTCTCAACTAGTATTAGTAGGGTTTTACGTTATTGTTAATTGAGAACATGTAATTGCATGCATGAGGCAAGTTTTGTTAATTTGAATTCTGCGGATGACAGTACAAATTCAGATAGTACTAGTCTTGCTGCATCCTCTTTTTCTCTGCCAACAAAGTTATGCTATGATGCTTATCATGGTTGTTTATTAAATGTTAGGTATGAATTAGCAGAAGAGTGTGCTGATGATGATGATGCAAAGTTAGCAATCGCTGACTTGAGAAAAGCTGTTTTGGAGGAGCTCAAGATGCATAATTCATTTGTTCTGGTAATGGTCAGTTGGACACTATTTTCAGCTACCAATCTTCATCGTCTGATGTCAACTTAACCTTTAAATAATTTGTTGAATACGGATGTGAAGAGCTAATATTCTTCACCCTTCCTAGATTTTGACTTTAAAATGCCACGTTTCACATTTGAATGACTTTTCCTTTTTAATCATCTTGTTCGAACCCACAACAGCGGTTTCTTGTTTCCTCATTTTCCTTGCAAAGGCTGACTATAATCTGGAAAAGTTGATCAATCTCTTTCTTGTTCAATTCTTGGCGACAAACAAATTTCTAATTCTTTGAGAGAAGACTAAGTGGAAACGTTGGCGTTTTCATGCACTCATGCTTACTTGTACATGGCCCCGAAATTGGGTTTTGCAGGATTGGGGTATTGACCCTGCCAAAGAAGTTATAGCAACTTCTGCAACTGTCAAATACACAGATTTCCTGTTGGCTACTGCATCTGGAAAAGTGGAAGGTGTAAAAGGTCCTGGTAAACTGGCTACGCCTTTTGAGAGAACGAAGATTGCAGCTTACACTATCGCTGCCATGACACCTTGCATGCGACTTTATGCCTTTCTCGGCAAGGAATTACAAACACTAGTGGATTTAAAAGATGGCAGTCACCCATATAAGAAGTGGATAGAAAATTATTCTTGTGGTAGTTTCCAGGTAAGTAAGTTTCTTTAGTCCCACAACATTTCTGGTCGTTTTGTGGTACTTTATCTTGGAAAAATGGAGAGGGCTCACTAGACAGATAGCCATGTTTAACTCAATGTCTGGACCATTTTTCTTTTGAGTCTAGGCATCCGCTTTCCAAACAGAAGACTTACTGGATAAACTCAGTGTCTCTTTGACTGGAGAAGAGCTAGATATCATTGAAAAGCTTTATCACCAAGGCATGAAACATGAAGCAGAGTTCTTCTATGCTCAGCCACTTGATCAGCCCACCGTAGTGCCTTTCGCAAAAGATCATAACCATGATGGAGGCCGCCTTGTCATATTTTCTGATTTTGATTTGACATGCACCGTTGTTGATTCATCTGCAATCTTGGCTGAAATTGCTATTGTAACTGCACCAAAATCTGACCAACCTCAACCCGAGAATCAAATTGCACGGATGTCATCAGCTGAGCTCAGGAACACATGGGGACTGCTCTCGACGCAATACACAGAAGAATATGAACAGTGCATTGAAAGCGTCTTACCCCCTGAAAAAGGTTAATTTTTTCACATCTTGCTTCCTTATTGAACGTGACTTCTTAGTTACAATCAACTTTAGTAAAATTATCTCAAGTTTTCTGAATTTCTAATGCATGTTTTTCAGTGGAGTTCAACTATGAAGCTCTTTGCAAAGCACTTGAGCAACTTTCAGATTTTGAAAGAAGAGCAAACACCAGAGTGATTGAGTCTGGAGTCCTCAAAGGTCTGTATCTCGAAGACATAAAACGAGCTGGCGAGCGACTGATTCTTCAAGATGGTTGCAGTAATTTCTTCCAGAAAATTAATGGAAACGATAAGCTGAATTCAACTGTGCATGTGCTCTCATATTGTTGGTGTGGCGATCTCATTAGATCAGCTTTCTCATCAGGTAAGTAGTAGCTGTTACTGCTTCACTGTTTCAGAATTTCTATTTTTTTTTGTCCTTTCTCTCTCAACTTCTCTCTTTGTCGAGCAGGGGGGCTTGGTGTTGTCAGTGTTCATGCAAATGAGCTGACTTTCCAAGAGTCAATCTCCACGGGAGAGATTGTAAAGAAGGTGGAGTCTCCAATGGACAAGGTCGAAGCTTTCCACCACATATTGAAGAACTACAAAGATGATAGTAAGAATTTCACGGTTTATATTGGGGACTCAGTGGGCGACTTGCTCTGCCTGCTTCAGGCTGATGTGGGAATTGTTATTGGATCGAGCTCAAGCCTAAGGACGGTAGGGAGTCGGTTTGGCGTTTCTTTTGTACCATTGTTCCCTGGTGTGCTGCAAAGGCAGAGAGAATGTATAGAAGGAAGCTGCTCCATGGGCAAGAGCCTGTCTGGGACTCTGTACACAGTTTCTAGTTGGTCCGAGATACATGCCCTCAT